AATCACGTAATAACATTTGAGTACCATTATTACTCCTGCTGCTATTACCACTTGACGTTTTTTGTTTGTTTGGTTTTTTGTATATTGTATGTCTGTATTGTATTCGTTTATTTCTAGTCACATATTAATAATAAGAATGATGACGACGACGATGATGAGAAAGATAGCGTTAGTGGGAATGACTAATCATCCCGCTATTGCTATGCCAATTGAGTAAAAATACTAATAGTAATTATAATGCGAGAAGCGACGAAAATGGCGTTGATTGTATCTAGGGGTGAATGCTGCATTGGTAACGATAGACACTTGTAATTATTACCGTGTTATACTAGTGGCATAAAACCGCAAACGAATGTACAGGTACAAGCAGACAGGGAAGGGTTATTAGAACATCAACTGCAATGCCAACCATATTGGAGAAACAAAACATCATACTGAAAGCTATTTAAAGGTATTAACAGCAGCGGTGCGTCTACAGTAACAGACGACAACAATAATAGCAATAATCATAATAATATTACTACCGAAATGGTAACCACGACTACAAATACAATTGATGTAGTTATTACGAGGCGTTAAAATCCAAGGTGGTAATTATAACTACTATTGTTATTCTTCGCCATTGCTAAAAATTGTTTCAAGTAGCTAGCAGCTTGATCATGATGATGAAAAAGACTAATATATATATATATATATATATATATCGACGTGACAGAGACCTGATGACTCATTAGCTGAATAATTGTTTATACAGATTGGAAAGCGTGATTATGAAATACGTTTATTTATTGCTCTGATCTCATTGATTTGAGACAGACAAACGAAACGTTATTTCCTAGCTTTTTGTCTTTTTTTTTTCTTTCTCTGCAATACTCGATTCACTATTTGTCTGGCTGAAACAAAATTGAAAAAAAAAACTCCGAACTTCCTGCAAGATAAGAGATCAACTGGTGAAATTATGGAAGTTGAAACGTAACCGTAGCTTTATTTCTGCAGTGCGGTCATAACTGAGAATGATTTTATCAAGTTTGAGAACGAATTTGTGTCACTGAACGAGCATATTTAAACCTACTGCTTTCTTCTCGACAGGACGAACGTGTTTCTTTCGAACGCGTCTGATCAAAAAAAAAAAACGGACAAATCGTCTGCTTGCTGTTGGTGATAATTGAATGGTGACAATGATGAGCATTGATGTTTTGCCTCAACAACCGTGGCTTGTGCGGTATACTCTCTAATCGAATGTGTTCAGTAAATAAAAACCTCCGGTGAAAGTGAAGCGATAGATAGACGAGATGTACATGCTGTTTTCAGATGACAAATACTGTGAAATATGTGCCCCCGTATTTTTCGGATTCATGAACAAATACAACTTCATTTATTGGCCGCACAGATATGTAACAATTGCTACTGTATAGTAGACTATATCGTCGACATGAAGCTGTCGATAGACACCAATTAAAAATGCCTGGGGTTCAATTCACTTTATATA